TAAATATTTTCCGTAAGATTTCTATACTTGCTAGTATATGAATTTTTATTACTAGTCTGATAAATAATTATCAGTCTCGGACTTACAGACATTGGGTACTAATGAACCCCACGTAAGCTACCAACCAACCATTCATTTAGAAATAATGTGTTAAGTGACAAAATTAACAAGGCATAGTACAAGTTTATAGTACTGTTCAATAGGGGAACTCCCGTATGAGCAAATGAAACCGGAAATCTTAAACAGGGGTATATAATTATATGACTTGTACAGATGTCCGAGAACATTAGGAAACTGAATTACCTATCAGTAATTATTCAATATTTAGAAGATTTCCTTTTTTAACAAGAGACATCTGTCTTGTTTGTGAAAAGAAAATTGATACAACTTTCCGATCGTGAAAACAGGGGGGGGGGGCTCAACATTAAAGTCAGATATCTGTCTGCAAAGAAATAAATAAATGAAAACTAACTTGATGATTAATTAATTTTAATTCTTTAATTGAACAGGGATATATATATTCAACACATAAATTTAAACTTGATTTACTCATATTCATATTCTGATTTATTTTACAGATATCAATAATATTTAGATTTAAAAAAAATGATAACTGTCTGGGATTTTTTTTCATTAAAAATTAAAATAAGACTGTTTTTAAATGCAAAGTATAACACACATTCATTTTCACACCACTGCAGCCTCCCCGAGAGCGAGAACAATAGGGACAGTAATTATCAGTAAATGTCAGCACTTGTCTAAGTTTTTCAGCAGGGACAGTAAACGGGTCAGTAATTGTCTAAGTTTATCAGCACCGACTAAAATTGTCAGCACTTTTTTAAGTTTATCAGTACCGGCAGTAAAAAGGTCAGTAATTGTCTAAGTTTTACAGTAACGACAGCACATTGTCAGTAATTTTCTAAGTTTCTGGCTTAGTAGTGAGAGGTAGATCAGAGTAACATTACGAGAAAATACACTTCCTCTTTATAACCAGTTGTGCATCTCATCCCAAAGGAATCACTGATCCTGGAGCCACATATTTCAAAATTTTACAAATTTATCATAAAATGGTTGATTAATACCAAAGAGCAGATTTCAAAGCATTGATTTATTTTCAAACTTTGTACCCCCCACCCCCACCCACTTCCGACCCAGGGAGGGGGGGCATAAAAAATAACCATTTTGCTACGTGCACCTTTCTTCATCATAAATATATTTGGATCATTGGCATAAAAACAAGGAGCGGAGGAAAGATTTTTAAAGAATTAATGTATTTTCTCTGTATAATCAATAGAGCCCCGTCCTAAAACCAGAACCCATGACCCTGGAGCCATAAAATTCACAATTTTGGAAGAGGCACTCTTGCTTATCATAACTATGGCTTAGTTAGTTTATTTAATACGCAGGAGCACAGAAGAAGATTTTAAAACAATTAATGCATTTTCACTATGTGATCAATAGAGCCCCGACCTAACACCAGAACCCTGGGGCCATAAAATCCACAATTTTGAAAGATGCACTCTTGATCAACATAACTATTTACTTACATAGTTTATTTAATACCAAGAAGCACAAAAGAAGATTTTCAAAGAATAAATGCATTTTCACTATATAAATCAATAGAGCCCCGTCCTTTCACCAGAACCCCTGATCCTGGGGCCATAAAATTCACAATTGTTGATGACGCACTCTTGCTGATCATAACTGTGTGCTTGGTTAGTTTATTTATTACCCAGGAGCAGAGAAAAAGATTTTCAAAGAATTAATGCATTTTCATTATATAACCAATAGAGCCCCGCCCTAACACCAGAACCCCTGACCCTGGGGCCACAAAATTCACAATTTTGGTAGAGGCACTCTTGCTCATCATAACTATGTACTTACTTAGTTTATTCAATACTTAGCAATAGAGAAGAAGATTTTTAAAGAATAAATGCATTTTCACAATATAACCAATAAAGCCCCGCCCTAACACCAGAAACCCCTGACGCAGGGGTCATAAAATTCACAATTTTGAAAGAGGCTCTCTTGCTCATCATAACTATGTGCTTAGATATTTTTTTTTTATACGCAGAAGTAAAGAAGAAGATTTTTAAAGAATAAATGCATTTTCACTATATAACAAAGAGAGCCCCGCCCTAACACCAGAACCCCTGACGCAGGGGTCATAAAATTCACAATTTTGAAAGTGGCACTCTTGCTCATCATAACTATGTGCTTAGTTAGTTTATTTAATACCCAGAAGTAGAGAAGAAGATTTTCAAAGAAATCATGCATTTTCACTATATAATCTATATAGCCTCACCTAGCACTAGAACCCCTGACCCTGGGGCCATGAATTTCACAATTTGAGTAGAGGACTCAATGCTCATTACATTCATGCCAACAGTTTGCCTGCTTGATGTCCAGGAGTAAAGAAGAAGATTTTTAAAGATTGCAATAATTTTAGTGGTTTTGGCCCCACCTCTCAAGTCCCAGGGGGAAGGGGACCAGGAAATTCAAAATTTTTTGTTCCCCTTCATCCATAGATGCTGTATACCAAATTTGGTTGAAATTGGTTAAGTGGTTTCAGAGAAGAAGCTGAAAATGTTCAAATGTTAACACACGACGCACGACACAAGACACACGACACACGACGACGGACGAAAACGGATAGCAATAGGTCACCTGAGTTACTCAGGTGACCTTAAAATCATAAGCACTCAAGACTAGCATGTGTGTCTCTAAATTGTAATGCTCAATACCTTATTTAAATGTTAAAAACTCAAACAGTTCTCAATATTTTGTGTTTAATCCTACAATTTATCATAAACAAATAGAATTTTCCATATATTTTTATATATTTATATAGACTATATATCTTGATATTAACACTAGACACACGATGCTTCCATGAAATCATGATGCCAACTTTTTGATTTTTACAATCAAAACCACAACAAAACTTTAGACTTTCCTTAAAATTATATGCAAAGAGCTCTGGGTACGGATGATTTTCTGTTGGTCTGCCTTCCTTAAAATGAAGAGAGCATACTCTGTGGTTTCTCTTTGGCTCGTAATTTTCTCTTCTCAAGAGGTCAAGCCAGCGTTTTCTTAGTGCAGGCGCTTTTTTTCTGGGTTGGAAAGGGGAAAAATCTTTCAGTTAACTACGTCTTTCTCTTTTTCTTTCATCAGAATTACATACCTCCGCAACACAAAATAGGATTTTCTTTCAGACAACATTGAGTAACTATTGTAAACAATTTTTACTGGAAGTACCCCTGCTGAACATTTTCTGTAAATCACGTGATCGGTGCGATAAAACGCAAATAAAAACGGACGTTCCGGATGAACTAAAAACGTGACTATTAAATTATTTTCAAGATTTCAATAGGATTGCAGATTCAGACTTAATACTTCTAGAACTGATTTGTAAAATCTTACTATGATCTATTGAAGGTATGCCCTTGCACTAGATCAATTTATTAAGACCCCCACATTACCTTCCGAAGTACTTGCATACAGATATACGGCAGTATCAATTAAATAAGTAATAATAAAGAAGACAAGGAATCCAAGTTAATGGCCTATAGAATATATATACGATGAACTTCATTACCTCGGTTTTTTCATAAGTACGGAAATCTTCAAGTTCAACGTCATTGGTATCCAGAGAAAGGTTTTGCCACAAAAAATACATATGTAAAGTATGGAAGCCCTATCCCTAACCGTTTAAAAATTATGGCCAAGGTTGAAACATTTTAAAAGTAGGTCAAACTCCAAGGTCAAGGTCAAAGGGTCAAATTGCTTGATATTAAATGAAAGGTCTTGTCACGAGAATGACATATTTGAATAATGAAAGCCCTAGCCCTAACCCTTAAAAATATGGTTTATTTTCTTTAAGTAGGTCAAAATCCAAGGTCGAGGACAAAGGGTTAAATTTCTTGGTATCCAAAGAAGGGTCTTTTCACAAGGATTACATAAGTGAAGTATGAAAGCCCTATCCCTTACCGTTCAAAAGTTATTGCCAAGGATAAAGTTTTTTCACAAGAACGGACATATCCAAGGTCAAGGTCAAAAGGTTTAGATTGTCGGTATCCAATGAAAGGTCTTTCAACAAAAAATACACATGTAAAGTATATATTTCCTGGTATTTACTGTTCCAAAAATATGACCAAAGTAAAACTTTGGAATATTTGTATAAAAGTTGGTCAAACTCCAAGGTCAAGGTCAAATTTGGTGGTACCCAAAGAAGGGTCTTGTCACAAGAAATACACATGTGAAATATGAAAGTCATAGCAGTTGCTCTACTTAATCAAAAGTTATGGGAAAGATTAAATTTTTTGCGGACAAACAGACAGGCAGATAGATATTTAGGCCGACGGACGGACACGCCAAAAATTATATACTCCCGAAACTTCCTTGACAGGGGCAAAAAATTAAAGATAACTCACTTTATTTCAGCAGAGGTAATGGCTATACATGATTAAAAACCCACGATTCCATCTACATACCGTTATACAATGTAACAAGATGTACATGTGTACATGTACATGTACCATGTGGACAAAAATTTCAGAATTAAATACAAAAGATAAATGCTGGGAATATTTCGTTTTCACACTTTTGCATGACAATTACCAAAACTATAAACAAAAATGCGCAACAGAAAAAAACCCAATAAAATCTTAGCATTTAAACCAGTACTAGTCTTTTTACTATTTCTTATTTAAGATTAATTGTTAAAAAGTCATGCAATTCTTCCTTCTTCTTGAGTGTTTGTTTGCTGTGATTACAAGGTTTCAAATGACTTTTACGCTGCAGGTGAAGGACCCTACATGATATCCAATTTAAAAATATTTCCTTCTTCCCTAAAAAAATATCGTTAAAGGTTGAATTAGTAAAATAGAAAAAAAATATAATTCCCTTGCTGTTGGTGTAAATAGCTAAGATTATACACAAGCATTCAATAGGCCTGTTTCAAATTGCATTCTTACAACCAACCTTCCTTATTCAAAATGGCTGTCATGTACTGGTTATATTTCCATGTGTTATTTCAATGTATCTATTGTTATGGTACGTTTTTGCAATTATTTTTCTTTTAACCGTTCAATTTAATATACACTGATAAAAGTGTTGCATACCATTGGTGAACAATTTTAACAAATGATTTGTAACCTTAATGAGATCATTTAAATTTGTCTTAGCATTCTCATAAAGTTAACCAGATAAGATAACTAAGCAATCTTCATGACCATGAGTGCTTTAATATCCTTGTTATCCTTTTTATATCCAAAACAACGTTAGTCACTGATTTTAACTTTTTATAAATATATTGAACGCTTAAAATTCGTATTCCTTAATCGTAAGAATTAGGAATAAGAATAAAGTACCTGTTTTAAAAATAGAGGGGATGATTTCTGAATTTATATGTCTTAACACTGAAGTCTTTAATATTCACGTTATTAAATCCCTCCTTTGGAAAAGCAGGGTTTAAAAGTGATAGAGGTGTCTGTTCTTTTATCTGTACATCTATCCTTTATATTTTTGTCATCTATAAAAAACAAAACAAATACAACATTTTTACATATCGAATACTACTTTCAGAAAATTTGAGCAGAAGATTCTCGACCAAAGTATCATTAAGCTCAATGCATGTATCTCTATATGCAAAACTTGCAAATGATGGTATTACGGAGCAGGGTGAATACAAGTTATGTTCTCATACTGCCTCAGGATTCTCTACAGCCTGGCTTCAAGTGGATCTTCAAGAAATCTATAGCTTAAAATCTGTCAAAATATACTACAGAAATCAGAGTAAGTCTAAGTACAACTTATTTCTATAGTACTATGAACGCACATCAAATTATTATCAAACTATATTATTATTATTTATGATTCGTTCGGTAGTTCAAACTTTAACCTCCTAAAATGATTAAATAAAAAAAAATCCATTTTCAATGATTTTACACCAGTTACTAGTATTTATTTGATTTCCATTTATTATAATGTCCTTATATTCTTTAAATGTAAATTCTTCTATTTATCAATTCTGATGTTAGATATTTAACATTAAAGGACTTAATTATGATTTGCCTATCCGTCATAAAAATAATCATGCGATGCCATATTGATAAAACGTAATATTTTCCCTTTTGTGTGCTCTTATTTCCATAAATATCCGTTATAATGATGAAATCGCAGAACTTTTGTAAAATCTGTATATCTAAATTAACTTTTCAAAGTGTGAATTAGATTTTCGAATTGCTTCTACGTGTCAAATAAATAAAATACTAATTTCTTCCATGTATTCTTTACTGTTTTTGAGGTACTAATCTTAAAAGGGAGAATGTTGACTTTTCATTCATGTACACGTATAACGCTTATTTGTGCAATGGGCTTCTAGTATAGGTATCCGCATAAAATATTTATTCTTGTTTAAAGGGATGAAAGACCTTTAGCTGAAAAAATACCTGTCATTTAATTTTTTTCATATTTTGTATATATCTTATTTAGTATGTCCTGCATACTATAAAGCAGACATATCAATAGGTTTCTAGACTTATTTCTGAGATATTGAGTGACAAATACCATACCCCACAGTGTCTGAGCGGAGTTTTTATTCTCCGTGTTTCTGGGTCCATTACTCGGTCGATAATTGAACTTTTTCACCATAGATAAAAAATATACCAGCGGAAATGCGTCTTTTAAAATATTTTAGAGTATGAATAGGGTTAAAAATTCGAAAAAGCAAGATTCTTTTGTAACACCACATCTGGAGACGGAAATTTACGACTTTTTTGGGACAACTTAAACCATAAAGAAATTAATTTGCAAAAAATCCTATCATTCAATATTTGAAAATTTACGTCGAAGTTCAAGGTCGTCATTGTATTGATTAACTGTAAAAATATCGATTAGTGAAGTTGAGCTCAATATTGCACAGGGCAAAGTTAAACAAGTTATGATCATGAGAAAAACGTGTCATGTTTACATTTCTCGAGTACGGGAAACCACAACTATGACGTCACACATTCCTGAAATAAGCGAAATAAGACAAAACCCAAAGAACTTTTCCGTCAACAACCATGTAAAAATTTATTTTGCGTTCTGAAATTTACAAAATACCCTACCATATACATATTATGGCCCGTTTTTATGATTTTATACTACCCGTTTTTACCGTGTATGATCTTACTGAACTAAGAGATCCACTATGACGTCAAAGACGCACTGGACGCGCAGAGTAGGGAAACGGCAGAGTGGATTAATCTATTCCGTAATTTTATAATATTTGCAAGAAATTTTGGATGTTTTCAGATATTTTTATACTAGATGGTGAACGCAAACAAACAGTCAAAAAAATCATACAAGTACTGTGGTTTCAATCTTGTTTTGTACATATTTTATCAGAGATTATGACGTAAATCAACTGAGTCACGTGACCATACATCCTTCATCCCCTTAGGTGTCGTCATTAATCATGAATACTTTTTTGGATATACTGAAGATAAATATTGATGAATCACTTTGTATAATATGATTTTAGCAGATTGGCCTCCTTACCGGTTTCGTCAATTCTACTTAGATGTATCTAACTCGTCAGCAAATGTAACTTCTACAGCACAAAGAACACGTTGTTACAAAGACAAAACTATAGAACCGTACGTACCCCCAGCTTTGATTGACATTCCTTGTTTGCACACAGCGAGATACATCATTGTGGAAACTACCTATGACGCTCCAGAAGATTATCAGATTGGTGCTATATTAGAAATTTGTGAAATAGAAGTTAATGGTAATTATCACCCTTTTGTATTGCTTATTATTTTTTCGTATTTCCATCCTTCTGTCTCGCTAGCTATTTTTGTGACTAACACTCTCATTTTTGGATAGTATCTGAAAAAAATTTAAAGCTTTTTAAATGAAATGTTTTATTACAACTTCCGATATAGCGTGGAATCATGTATGTGTGATAGAGTGTGTGTGAGTGTATAAGAGAGTGAAAGGGGGTGAGGTTTGGGTGTGTGAGAGAGTGTGAGAGGGCGTGTGAAGGTGATTGTATGTGAGGGGAGTGAGGGTGTGTTTGTGTGTGTGACGGTTTGTGTGTGCGTTCAAATTGTTTTAAGATGAAACATTTTGTTAAAGGTATATATTATCTGCAGGTTGCAGCGTAGGAAAGTTTGGAGAGTTTTGTGAAAATTGTCAATGTACTACCTGCAGTATCATAGATGGTACATGTCGTAAGTAATTAAACTATAAGTCATTTCTTTGATACACATAGATTCTCTTATTTGAATTATATATGTCATATATGAAATTAAACCTTTTATGAAATTTAATTTTTAAAGCTGTCGCATGTAGTGATAATTGTCGAAATAGAACATGCAGTCCGTTATCTGGATATTGCGTAAATGGATGCAAAGAACTTTATTATGGACCCAAATGTGAGCATCAGTGTAGTTCTCTGTGTAACCCCCAGAGTTGTGACCGAGATTCTGGTGCGTGTTCTGCATGTAAAAATGGCTCTTACGGTCCATATTGTAATAAGACGTGCAGTCCATTTTGCAGGTTTAATGTTTGTGATTCCAATACTGGAGATTGTCATCATGGATGTAAATCGAATTGGACAGGAGACTTTTGTAACAGTAAGTGCTTACAAATCTTTTGCAAATAACTTGTTAATAATATATTCTTGGGCTTTAATCACAGAACTGTGGCTTGGTGTCATTTTTATCAGAAATAAATGAATATCGAAATGAATTTTACACTGACGCTTTATTCTTGATTTTAACGGTTAAGCTCTAAAATAGCTGGGTGTTTGCTTATTTCATTTCACAATGACCTGTGTTTTAAATTGGTTATATGAAGTGTACTTTTCAACCAATCTTTCATTGTTTAGAAATCAAAATGTGTTTTTTACAGAATGCACTGATTCACATTTTGGCCATAATTGTTCTGAAAGGTGCAACATCAACTGTAAAGATCGACTGTGCAATAATATTACTGGGTCTTGTACCCAAGGGTGTGAAACTGGATTCTTCAAGGAGACTTGCAATGAAAATTGTAACCCCGATTGTTTTAATGGATGCAACAGACTAACAGGCTATTGTGATAATGGCTGCGTTGAAGGAAAGTTTGGAAAGGAGTGTCACGACAATTGTGGATCAGGCTGTCTTTCGAAGAGCTGTGCTCGTATAAATGGAAACTGTACATGCGCAAATGGATGGAACGAGGATAAGTGTACAGGTAAAATATTATCTATATTAAAAGCAAACTGTTTGATTACGGTAAGTACACGAAACATTAGTTCAATATAAATATCCAAAAATAGCATTTCATTGCTAGATAATTTTCAAAAATCAAGTTGTCTATCATTAAAAAGTCCTTTAAAAATTTTATGAATATAAAATTTAGAAATGCCTTAACATACTGTAGATCACTAAATTTTCGTGACACCTTATTTTCGCGAGATAGTCATTGACACTTGATAAGCGAGACAAAATTTTCACGAATTGTGGTTATTGCTCTATATAATCTTATGGAATACTATTGTACGCGAGAACTTATTTTTCGCGAGCACACTGTCTCGCGTAATTACGCGAAAATAAAGTTCTCGCGAATAAAAAGTGATTTACAGTAATTCATTTCACTATATCAAATGCATTAACGTACATTGTCAATGACAAAAAAGATGTCTAATGTTTTGCATTAAATATTGTTTGCTTTTGCTATATCTACTGTACAATAATTCATAGTACGACTATTTACTTTTATAGGATATTTCTTCACTCATGTTTTCTATATTTATGAATCTGTATTTGAAGAATGCAGTCCAAACTTTTATGGTAAATTCTGCGAAATAAAATGTAGCGAACATTGTTATTATTCGACATGCTTTTCTAACAATGGATCATGTATTGGTGGATGTTCTGGATATTTCACAGATAAAAAATGCACAAAAGGTAATGAAATATAGATAATTTTGTGAATCAGAACACGAAAATATTTTTAAAATCTTATTTCATCTAAGTCATTGAAACTTTAGATTATTTTGGATTGGTTTGATTGACTCATCCTTGCACTTTTACAAATTTTGATTTTATTCTTAATTCTTAGAAAAAGAGGCAATCTTGTTGTAATATATTTACTGTAATCCCATAATACTAAACTAAGCAGGATGAATGAACATATTTCTGCAACCATGCAGTGATGGCACAAATTCCTCCAGGAATTCTTTTGAAACAGCACTCTATTATATTTTCTAATTTCTATCATACATAAATTACTAAATATAACTGAACTTTTACAGTCTGAACATTCTTGCATGAATACATGTAGATGATTGATCAAAATCCAGTTATATAGAAAAAAAATAGTGATTTTGATTGGTCGATTGTAACGGCCTTTAGTAAATTATCACAATATGTCGACCAAGGGTTTCAAATTTTAATTTACAAAATATTCAAGATATTGTAAACAAATCAGGGGTTATTTTTACAAGCATGTAAAAGAATTTTTAAAACATAGTTTCACCTATGAATTGAAATTGTAAAAATAAAGAAAAAATATCCCACTAGTGAAATAATTTTTTTTATTAAGCTACAAAATATGAAATATCTTCTTTTTTCATTTCAGCCCTAGAGATCAGTAATACATTAGATCCTGCATCCATCGGTCTTGGAGTAGGTGTTGGGGCTTCATTAGTTATTCTTATCTTTGGTTTTGTCATCGCTATTGTTATATATATTAGGTAATGCATCTCAGAGTATATTATGGCCAAATTTAACAGTCATTTTCCTGGACACGTGCTGCATATATATATGAAAAGTAATTCAAGTACATTGAAATGTCTGCAAACATGTGGAAATTATTAAAAATAAAGGTTTAAACTTTGTTTGATGTAGCTGGCTTTGCAGTTAAAAAGCTTTGACAAGATATGTAAAGATAGGTACATGTACTCGTAACTGGTTAGTAGTAACTAACTTGAAATATAAATAAAGCTAGCTAATAGTAACTAGCTACAACATTTGACTAAATTAACGACTGACTGACTTCTAGAAACTGAACAACTATTAGTTACTTGTAGCCAAGAAGTAGTAGCTTACTCTGCTAACTCTGCTTTAACACGACTTAATATGATTCCAAAAAATTTAAATGCAAGAATTTAGTGTTGGATATTCATGTATTACACGATGTTTAATACATGAAAATTATGAATTTATTTCCAGTTATTTTCAATGCCTTATCTTTAATTCGTTCTGCTATTTACTGTATCCCTTTTACCTTTTAGAATTATAAGGAGAAAAAGACTGGCTTACAAAAACCGGGAAACACAATTAAAGGACTACGGTAATGTAAAAAATTTTCATGTAAAAAAAGTTTATGTACATGTATTAACTCAAAACTATCTTTAGTTAATAAATGGTAAATGAGGTCAGTGTAAAATATTTACATAATATAAATTCAAACATTGGATAAGGAAACGGTTGTTTAATGCGTTTTTGATAATGATCTCAAAGATATTCACTCTTCTTTAAGTTTTAGCTTTGTCAATTAGTTTTTTTATGTAATACTTGTTATAATTACTTCATTCTGCTGAATTCGTTAATAGAATTGTTCTTTTCATAATTCTATGGATGTTATTTAACTGTTCTTTGTAGACAACAAAAAAGTCGTATTTAGAAGACAGGATAATCAGAAGAATCTTCAATCAAATATATTAAGCAATAAATATGGTGCTTCAGAGAACATCGTAGATGATTACGAAAATGAAATAAAAGGGGGTTTCGAGAGTAAAACCTATCATGAAGTTTCAGACATTGATAATAAGTATAGTACACAACAGAAAAATGAATACTTGTCCATTTCAGAGACGGTCCATGAAAAGTCAATTTATGATCAACTCCAACTTTAACACTTATATGCCTCCCAATTCTTTATTGTATATATTTGCTTCAAGTAGTACCAATAATAGACTGATATATATTTGATAAAATAGTGAGTTTAAATTCTTTATATTTTAAAGTTTCAAAGCCAAGAAGTAATCTTTCACAAATTAATTCTATGTTGATTTTTTTTCATGAAGCTCGTTAAACAATGAGAACAATACACAATCATATACTAGGATGACCTTGAAAAATCGCAAAGGTTTTCCATGAAAATTATCCTTTTTTTCAGTTATTTTTGAATGAACAGATTCTTCCGGCTTTGTAACACATTGATAAGGAACCTTTTGAGATAGATATGTTTTTTCTCTTTTGTTTTTGTCCCTGTATATCTCTCATAATACAAAAACATGTCCATTGAAATGTACGAAACATAGCTACATGTACATGAAGTACAAGTTGTATCTATAGACCACTCAGACTAACACTATAAAAAACTATAGCTAGTAATAGTATTTTTTTAGGTGAAGGCTAGTTTTAAAATGATTAAATTTTCACAAAATCCATTCTTTTATTTTTAATTTGAATTAATTTAGCCAAAACTATATAATATTGGAACTTCTGTTTAGTAAAATTTGAAGTCCTTCATTATAAGACTCAAAGCTTTCCTAAGCATCCTAAGCACCGATATTGGAAAATAACACATTTTTTGACAAAAAGTAGTTTAACAAGGCTATATCTTTAGAGATACTTTGACTTTAGTGCGATTTTAAAGGGGTCTAGACAGTTTCAGTTAAAATAATTTTCCATTTTTTCATGCTGAACTATGCTGAACTAAGGTATTTCTGATAAACATCAAACGATTTTATTTCAGTTTTCGAGATACAAAAGAGACTTAGAGTTCCAAACCTTTATTATGTAAACAAGGCCTGTGTAATGTTTTTTTTTTTACATAGGTGAAATATAGTTATATGTTTTTTCAAAACAAAAAAAATATATAATTAATACGATTAGACAGTTTCTAGTGATTTGCTGAATTTCATTTTGTTGTATATATATATATATATATATATATATATATATATATATATATATATATATATATATATATATATATATATATATATATATATATATATATATATATATATATATATGATATTTTATATATTTTTAAACAAAAAAGGCATGAGCCTTGTTTACATAATGAAGGAATTTAAGTTCTGTATCTCCTTTGTAAATCAACAATTGATGTTCATATTGTGCTGATCATTAGAATTATCTTAGTAATATAATATTCTTTGATTTCATCCATTTTTGTCATTTGTTGTGCTTGCGTATCTCGTTGAATGCTGGGGACAATTTGCTTCCTTTTGCTCTTCTCTTTTATAAGCTCACGTGAGCAGAATCAAAATTTCTCCGTTGTCTGTCGTTGCCGTTGTTATATTTCACAACTTTTCACATCGTCATCTTCTACTCAAAAATCACTGGGCCAATGTCAACCAAACTTCAACAAAGTATCCTTTGGGAAAGGGGATTAAAGTTTGCTCAAATGAAAAGCCGCCCTCTCTTCCAAGAGGATATAATTGTAAATAATTAAAATCAATGGGTCTTTTGAAAATCTTCTTCTCAAGAACCACTTGGCAAGGAAAGAAGAAACTCATGTTAAAGCAACCTCATGTAGTGAAGATTTAAGTTAAATTACATACAGTGCAGGGAAATAATTTTGTTACAGCATCAATGCTGATTTTGGTGCTTCCTATGCTTGCTGATTTTGGTGCTTCCTTTGCTTGCTGATTTTGATGCTAGTTATCCTTATCCTGATCCTGGTTTGATCCTTATCCTGATGCTGGTTTGAAACTAGGTCAATGCTAGTAATGCTACCGGACGTAGGATTATCCTGCCGGAAGTGGACAATTCAAAAACAGCATCGCTATTTTAAGCCATTAAAAATAATTTTTGGGGTAATTTTTATTTGTAATTTGTATTAAATGACTTTCCTTTATCTGTTTTCACTTTGGTCAATGCTAGTTCTATCCTTTGCTTGCTGATGCTGATCCAAGTAATGCTGTTTTTTTAAATGCTGATGCTGATGCTAGTTCTATCCTGATCCTACTTATGCTGATCCTGATGCTGGTTTATGTAACAAAATTAGTTCCCTGCACTGTAACCCCCAGGGCTAATGTTGGTCACAATGGGGTATCAAAGTTTAAAAAGGAATTCATAGGAAAATTTTTTAAAAAACCTTTTCTCAAGAACCACTTTTCATCTTAAAAGCAACAAAGCCATATTAAATCAAAAGTACACTTAAGACGTGTGGATTCAAGTTTGTTATAAAATACCCACCCCCTCTGCTAAATTGAATTTTATATTTAAACTTTTCAATACTAAATTAATTTTTGCTTTTACCTAGCCATTTGCTCAGGTGACCGATGTGGCCCTTGGACTCTTGTTGATGGGTTGTCTCACATTCCTGTAATTTTGACATAAATATTGTATTATCTCAATAAATGGTGAATTACTTTTCAGATAATATTAAGACGTATATGTTGAAAATTACTTTCCTATTTCTATTTAAGTTTGACATGTTTCTGTCCTCACAGAGGGGAATAGGAAGTTGGAGACTCATCGGAAGAAATATGTGAGTTTAGAAAAAATCCTAAGTGGTGAATTTCAATAACCCCATACAAAGCAGTATTTGTGTTTGAAAGTCCTCTGGTGCTTGGTTGGTTGCTATCATAAAAAAGAGAAACATCAAAATGAAACAATCAACAGTCTTTTTAACGAAAAATAAGATAAATATTTTCTTGTCCGATTTCTGCAATAAAACTGATACTTTCAGTCCCATCTCCAACAAACCCTGCTTAAGGTATCTGTAATTGGTCTTTTAAACAAATCATTAATAGCCATTCTCTGTAAGCATTTAAACTCTTACATGTATATAGGGAGCGTCTCGGATTTTCCTTGAACTAATCACACTTTTCTATATTGATATATGAAACTAAAATGGTTGCTACGATCCTTGGTTACCATGGCAACCAACATACATTTTTCATTGCCTAAAAAATCGGTAAGTCTGAATGAAAAAGCGACCTTTTTTTGACTTTTTAGAAGTCCTTAATAGAACAAGATATTCACATGAATTTACCTTCTTGCCAAAATAAATCATTTTATAGTTCTTTTGATAATGTTAGTATTTCAGTACCTTTATCCATTAGTTTTATAAACAGACGATTCATATTCAAATTTTTGAATTTAAATTTAATCCCAATTTACATACGTTAAATTTTTTACAAAATTCACTTAATTTCGTCCTACTTCTGCTGGCCAGGTATGTCTGTGCTCTAGTCATTAAAGCAAAAAAGCTTTCCAAAAAGGTATTAAAATTATAGATATATTTATTAAACGTCCTTTATGTATATGAAATTAATATTTTTATGGAATATATTGTATGGGTAATTTAAAGAAATACAATAGAGCAGAGCCATTTTACTCGTAATGTTTTTAGTGAGTATATATAGTTCCAACCTACAACATTTTATTGGGTGTATAAATACGTCAAGATCTACAAAAAAGAGCTAGGCCTACAGATTTAATTCTATGTTTGGTACTCATTACAGTTGAGCAGTAGAGAGGGTGTATTTTTCGTTTCACGCTAAACTGCGACAAGGATACTTGGATGATTTCAGTTTTCATTTGTAAATAACATGACATTAACCTGTACATCTAGCTCCCCGCATTCGGTAAAGGCATTGCTTCTACATGTACCTATTATTGAGTCTTAAGTTTTAATAGACGCGAAAATGGAGAATCGAACCCGGTCCTTCAGAGCTGCGAAAATGTAGCACGATCAAGAAGTGAACCTCCTACTTTTAGTTGCCGGTCCATGAGTTATTGATGCATATTTGATATATTATGCTTGTCAACCTGAAGACCCAGGGACTATCTCTGATGAAAAATGAAGATTTCAGACAAATATTTCCATCCCCGTATGATGTCATAGGATTATGCAAAATCTGTTATTAATTTAAATTTATGTCTAATATAACTATATCTTTCGGAAGAATAGGTGAGATGATAAATATTGTTAAGTAAAAGAATTTAAAAGATATATATTTTCTTTACGCAGGGTTAATAAGGAAGCATGCAGAATATTCTACCATTATTTCAATCTTAATTTTATTTTTTGACTCCTTGTGTTTTGATTGGACGAGAACAAATTCAATAAAAAAAGTTTACACATCAATGAATTTTTTCAATCAGAACTACTTTCTTGACTTTTGTAAAAACAATGAAAACAGATACTTCTTGTCTGTTTTAGCTAAATTATGTTTACAAGAAACTTGAAATAAAAAATGAATGAATGATGAATGAAACGGAGACAAATAGGACTGACAGACGGGGATATTATGTTTATGTCACTGTCAGATCACGAGTGTGAATTTAAAAAAAATGCTGTCATGTTCTCGACGTTCCATATCAGCTCTGTTGGTATCGTTGTGATAGAGAAAAGAAACGAACCTCAGACTCTTGCCTTGTCAGTATCAAATTCAAATATTTACATCCTGAATTTTATTCAGTGATTTCATCATTAAGATTCGTGTCTACTAAAAATTTCGAAGTCCTTTGTCCCTTAACGGTAAATCTGGAGGATCAGGACCATAGGTTTCCTCAGCGTCATACCGCCAATCTTTCTAGGGGTTCGTCTGTCTGTCTGTCAGTTTGTTCCAGTTAATTTGTCGATTTTTTCTAAACGCTTGCAGATATTGAACTGATTTTTGGTAACTTTACTTGATAAGTTATAGATGAAGCGCTAGCTTGCAATTCGTTCTGCTTTAATGATTTTGACGGAATTATAGTATGACACTGTCAATTTTTAACGGAACCTGATTACACTTGCCTGTAGCACTATTATTGTTAATGCATTTCAATGCTTACAAAATTTTGACTTTAATGGTAGGGGTTTGTGGTAAACAAATAAAGATACAAACACTATTGATCATTTAAAAAATGAATATTTTTATTTCCCGAGCATTAGGAGTACACTAGCTTATCTGGATCAATCGATGTTCAAACTTCGAGATATTACCTCACGCATAAGTAATACATGCGTGACTATGTTTAAATAATTTTATGCACCGTTGCAGATGCATTAACATTTCTTTATTACTTCCTCATTGGAATTTAAAGATGGTTTTTACAGACTGGGTATGTTTTGCATTTTTGATTCAATTTGGATGCTGTTTCGGTAATAATCTCTTGATATTACTTCTTTAAAAAATAAGTCCGCATTTTTGTGAATGTTGCAGGATAACCTTTAAGGTAGAGAAATGTTGTTTGAAAGATAAAGGCCAGGCTTTATCGCCTATATATTTCAAACAAATTCGCAGTTTTTATCTATAAACAACATCTGATAAAAAAAGGACTGTCTTGTGATTTGCATTGTGGGTGTGAATTTATTTCTTTTTCAGCCAAAGGATGTTTATATATTGTTATTTTCTACAAAAATACTACGAAATACAACAGGGATACAGCGTGCAATATTTAAGGGAATATACATGCTACAATAATACATATGGCAAATTCTCTAAATAACCAAAATCATTTCTTCTGTTGTGTTTTATCTCTACCATATGAACTAAAGAGAATCGGGTCAATGTGATGACTTTCAGAGATAATAGTTTATTGTGCCCCTAGGGTCATTAAGCAGTGAACGTTTTAGTCCCAGTATCTACTGCGACGCACTACCTCAGTTACTACGGTCTCCTATGAATCACCGGTCAACGCTACGAACTGCTACGAAGCTGAATCATATCGTTTATCATACAATTTACTTGCCAATAGGCCTTTCATCATTCTCAGTCAATAAATCATTCAAATTGGAAGTAAAAGTGGTAGATTCTATGCTGTCCTTCATTTCAAGTTCACTGGGTTATGAGTCAAAACATAAATAGAAATTTTAACTGTTAATTTAGAAATCTGAATGTCAAGCTGTCTGTAAAAACGCTATTACATAGATAAATCAGTGTGCATGCAAGCCAATGAAATAGGTACAGTGTAATGTAATCAATAGAAGGAAGAATTTTTTTACGCAAAAAATAAGTACCGGTGTTCTACCAAAAACATATTTCTTGGTGTTAATAATAAAAGCTCCTTTTTTGTTTAGAGTCTAATATTACTCTTGATTCCTTTCAGAAAATTTATGTTTAAGACCAGAGACAAAGGCCTTACAAATTCTACGTTAGAAGGTCAGAATGCTCAACTAGGCATTGATGGAGTCAAAACGCCAACCTCCTTCAAATACTGTTCGCACACATCCACATCTGAAAAGTCTGAAGCCTGGTATCAAGTCGACCTTGGAAATTTCTTCAGTTTGAAAAATATCATTATTACTTACAGGAATGAAGGTTGGTGGGAGGATCGGGTTGTTCAAGAAATGGATGCATTCGAAATATATATTATATATTTTTTATCTGCTTGCCTTTTGGGAAACTCCTGATTAGTTGCGAGTTCTTGCTTCACTGCTTTGTGTCTTTATTGATCAGTTGAAGAAATTGTTAGAGGGAAATGCAAATAAGAGGAAATGGTTTTGTTATCAATAGAATATTAATGATTGATATACGTCTCATTTTTCAATAATTATTATGGGGTTACATATTTTTTGCAAAGATTTTCTTGAGGAAAGAAGTGATGAAACATACATGTAATACGTGTAATATGATCAATGTGAAATAAATATATAATATCTGCTTAAAATAAATGAATAGAGATGATACAGAGTATTTAAAATAATTTTGCTGGACGCTGTTCCCGAAATATTGTGCACGAAGGCTTTATTTGTACTATGAAACGATGATCTGATTATCCAAACAAACCCAAAAGTCGTTGAAAAAGCAGAAATATTTATAAACCTATCTGTATCTTATTGAGCTGGTCTTAAATGATTCAAAAACTACATCGTATTTAAAAACAAGTGTTTAAAAGGATACCGTTTCAGGAATTTTGAAGAAAAAAACTGCTTTGATAAAAATTCACATCTGTCATGGGTTCTTTGTGCATGCATACACAGAAAATTTTATTTATAGAGAAATGGCCTCCGTACAGATTTCGACAATTCTACCTAGATGTTTCCAGCATGACGGCGAATTCTACTGAGACCTTAACACCTCAGAGAGTTCGGTGTTACACGGATAGAACGAGGCCTCCTGCCACGCCCCCTAATGTTATTGACATTCCATGTAATCAGACAGCGCGGTATGTTATCGTAGAAACCTTCTATGATGCTACAGAAGACAGAGAAATATTGGTAGCCATTTTGGAAATTTGTGAAATAGAGATCTATGGTAAAGTTTAAATAAAAACAAGCTAATAAACAAACTGTTTGAGATCTACTTTTTGATAACTAATCATAGCGTGTGTTTCTTTTTTTTTCTTTTACAAGTTGGAAATATATACATGTAATAAATTAACGATAATGACTTTCAAGAGTTAATTTTTAGTTTTATTGTTTTTCATCGACCTTTTTGTTTGAGTTGTTCTTCACAAATCTTTTTCACAGTATAACCTGCTATATCTGAAGAGGATGATTTATTTAAATGAAAAGACTTTTACTTACCTCTCTTTGAGAATATATTATCGTGCGATAGTTGATGTGTTTTAGACGTATTATGACTTTTATTGATAATTATTTGATAAATGACTGTATCTTTATAGATATTCTTGTTTTATTTTAGTTGTTGCATTATTAGTTATAATAATATAATTTTAATCGAGCTTTCGCAGCAATCCGGAAAATGCTTTCATTCTTCTAGGATGTGCAGTATGCAGATATGGCATTAACTGTTCAGAATGTGATAGATGTTCAGTTTGTGACATTATAAGCGGTGCTTGTCGTAAGTATTATAATAGTTCAACATTTTTTAAGCTCCATCGAGCACGATCAGTTGCAACAATGCAGAAAATAATTATACATATATCCAATAATATGTTATGTTTCTTCTGCAATGATGGTTTTCAAAATTGTAAATAAGCAAAGGAATGCAATTTATTGCCTACATTGTATACTTGTCTTAAGATAACTGGTAACGAGTATTTTGTAACGAAACCTGTAGTCCATTTTGTATCAATGGGTCATGCTCTCAAAGCAATGGGGAAGGTATAGGAGGATGTAAAGCCAACTGGATAGGAGATCAATGTAATAGTAAGTAAAAAATAAACAAAATGAGAATGTATATTGGCTTTTAGAAATATTACTCATTTGATTTTTGCTGTGTAATTATTTTAATCAATTCTGTCATATCCGAATTTTTGCAAAATCTTCAAAATCTGATTTTTGTCTTATTAATTTTAGCCCTAGCTAGCAGTGACAGATTGGATCCTGCATCCGTCGGTGTTGGTATAGGTGTTGGAGTTTCTTTCGCTATTCTTGTTTGTTCTGTCATCGCAATTGTTATATGTTTTAGGTAATGCATGACACAATTTTGATTGAATACAAGAATCATTTTAGTCAAGTTTACATCAATTAAACGTCAGAGTTCAATATATAACAAAATATATTCAAGTTATTTTCCCACGTTATTACTATTTGATGTCTGTCTTCTTACTCGTGCCATTTGATTATTTTTTTTTTAGAAATTTTTAATTCTGGGACATTATTTGCAGATTATTGAGGTGTTGGGTTTTTAAATGATATTTTAATTAACATTTATTTCACATAAAGTTTGTGCTAATATGTCGTTTGTAGACGCCTTTAGCACACCGCAGTTTATTCTTTAAATTCTTGTTTTCGTCTTATACACATTGAAGTTCGTTTCATTTTTTCATCAAACACTGAAATAACCTCTAAGTTCGTATTTCTATTACCTATTAGAATGAAAAGAAGAAAAGGACCTGATAACAAATACCAAAAGGAACATGGTAATATAAAACATTTCAGCTCGTACTAAGTACAGTATATTTCATCTTTATGATTCTTGAACGATTGTATTTTTCATTACATTTTATTTACATGTAATAACAACAAATTCAAAACGTACTCTTAGTTTCATATATATCTCAATTTCTTACATTATAAAGTGAATAACATTCTTGATGTATTTTTTTTTAATTCTAAGGATTATTTTTTTCTTTTATAGAAAACAAGAATGCTGCATTTAACAGAAATGGTCAACAGAGGAACTTCGTAAGAAATGTATCTGGATTTGGTAATATGGATAATGCATCAGGGGACAATGCAGATGTTTATGAAAATGAAAAGAAAAACGGCTTCAAGACTCACACAGATGATAAAGTTTCACACGTTCACGATAAATATGGTTTAGAACCGAAAAAGGAGTACTTGTCCGTCTCAGAAAAAGTCCAAGAAGAGTCAACATATGATCAGCTAGAACTTTAACATGTTTTTATTACAATTACCTATTCTTTATGTGTTGTTTTTTTTTTTACTATATGTGCTTTGGAATAAAATATATGAATGTAATAATTTTATTTTTAATCAAATAATAAATTTTTCCTTACTTGCGTCCATGTAATTTGAGAAGCCCGTTATTCTGTTCAGACTTAATCGCTTAATGACAATATAATGCTAAATAATATTTTGGTCAGCATGTCAAATGAAATCAGGAATTTCAAAAAAATGCAGAAGTGTAGATATTCGAGGGAATGTAGATCTACGTTCAGCTGAGTTTATCATAGAGAGATGGTTGACTGAATTGTCTAAGTTCTTGATAGCCTGCATTATCTTCCACTATATCATATAAAGCAGCTGCTGTATTGGAATCACGGATTGGATTTTTTTGCCTTGTTATCTTCTCCGAGTTTTTCATGTTTGAAATATTTTGCGTGATATTCCTGTAATAATAAAACATGATAACTAAATGCAGATTGGGCAGAACATTGTTGATAGCATTACGATAAAATTTATGGAATTTTTTGTTTTGTTTTCGTTTAACTTTGATACTATAAAAGCTGCTGCTCTGATTGCGAAGCTAAGAAGAACTCACCGCACAATATAAATGAAGTTGATAGAAATGCTTATGAAGAGAATTGTTATAACTCCATACAACACCGAATAAACATTTGTATTTGAGCAGTTCCCTGATGCCAGGTCAACTACTTCAAAAGAAAAAAAATTCAAAATCCGTATTCAAAATCTGTATTCACGCGTGTTTACATTTGAACCGATTTATAACAAATTTTAAATTACAATGTTTCATTGTTATCATGACTTTCAATAAAGTGATGCATATGTTTTATTAGAATGACAGACGCTTTTATTTAAAAAAAAAAGGAACTTCTTTTAAGAAAAATGAATGAAAATGCAAACGTACTGTCACATTTTTGTCCTGTCCAATGGGGTTTACACCCACCTATACAAGTACCGTTCTGTCTGCAATCGATTTGTGCGCATTTTTCACTACAGTGCAAATTACAAAATTCACCATAGAAACCTCTCCTGCCACCATTACTACAATGTCCATTTATTTTCATACATTCTTCATTAAGACAGGTGCTATTACATCTCATGTTACATCTTCCACCATAATAGCCTGTATAACATGTTTCACAAATACCGAAATATCTCTCACATGACCCAGTACTGCAATTACCACCAGGAAGATTGCATTCATTTCCTCAGTATCCCTGATTGCATCCCCGGCTGCAGTATCCATTAAAATCGTATTGTTTGTCCACACAATTAGGACTACATGTTACCGCCGCTTTAAAAATCGTAATTTCATGATATAATGACATTAGGAGATTAAAATGGTCAAAAATTGAAAATATTTTAAATTCATTCATACATGTAGCAACATCAATCCAACCCCCAGAATTTCATGTACAAAGAACTGCACTTGAAACTTTGAATCAGGATTGTAAACTAAAAGTGTTTTTCTTAAAATCTCACTATTACCATTTTAACTATCTCATACATTAAAGAATAAATATTACTTTTTAAAGATTTTTATTTCAGAAAAAAAATGATTCCATTCTAATTTTGTTAAAGCATTGTTTGATTTATATATATTCTTTCACTTCAAAAAAATGAAATGTAAAGATAACAAACTGTAATCATTTCCAAAAGTCCTGCACAGATATCTGAAAACAGTAAGAACGGGAAAAAAATCGCCTATCTGCAATCGTCTTAAAGACAGATTGTATTTGCCGCCAAAGTCATTGTATCGACAATAGAGAGTGCAAAATGCATGATAACTGTTAACGAGACTGTTAATATTCTTGGTCAACATTTAAAAAACATTTTGACATAAAATGCAAATAATATAGAAATTTAAGAAAAATTGCAATAATGATTGATCCAACCAGAACATTGAATATATTATAATGTTTATCTTTTTTTTTACTTTAGCAAGAACTCTTAGGTTTGATTAAAAAAATAATTTCCCACCATTATGTTCCCCAAGGCAACCCCGAGTCCCGATTAAAGCAGAAAAACAGACTTGTCTTAAAAATGCTGAAAGACAAAAGTGTATTTCATGTTAACTTAAGAAAGGCAAAATTCATAGTTTCACTTAAACAAGACCAAAATTAAAAGCGCTACGTGCCTAGTAAGGATGCAATGAAGGAAATGATACATTAGGACATTCCTTACCGTAAACTTGAAGTTCACATATTTCAAGAATAGCACCTCTGATTGGGTTATCTTCAGGGGCGTCATAGGTTGCTAAAATTCTCAGGTATCTAGCTGTTATTTCGCAGGAGATATTCTGTACACTTGCAGGCACAAATGGATAAGTCGTATTGTCTTTGTAACATTCGATCCACTGTCGTGTCTCAGAGGAATTGGATACTTCTAAGCTATATTGTCTAAATCGGTATGGTATCCACTTTGCTGTAAAAGATGAATTTATTTGATTAATTCTTTTATAAATGTATTATTTCTCTTTAAAAGAGAAAATGATAGGTCATTTAATAAAAATAACTGCAAGACCGTTACTTCATTGATGTAGACAGAATCTTTACTATGTATATTCAGCCGTCGCCAAAGTAGATTTTTATAGTTTTTCTGCTCTCTGTCATAAAGTGATGTGTATCAACATTTGTTCTTGTGCTGTATATACTATGAAATCACAAATTTTCGTGGGGGTTTAATTTTCGTTGCTTTCGAGGTGTAGAGAGACCAACGAATTCATGTCCACCTCGAAATGTAAAGTGTTACATATAAAATTACTCAAAAATTCTTCATCCACGAAATCAAATCCCCAGAAACCAAGATTTTTTCCTCAAACAACGAAAGTTTGAAAACACGAAAATATGTGATTTTACAGTAGCATGGACATCTTTAAACATTTTATGTTTTTTAAAGATTTACTGAGCTTATTGCGCGTTTCAGGTAATAGAAATATTTCTTTCTTTTTTTTTTTTTACATATTTGTTCGTATTGTTATTTTCTACTCATTCAATCTAAGGATGTATAATGATGTACAGTGTATCCTATAAACAGCTGATGTATATTGTTCAAGCTCCATAGTGTTTTTTTTTTTTTTGGATTGTTTGTTTCGTTTGCTTTTTTTGTTTTTTAATTTTTTTTTTATTATCTGCTTATTTTCAATTATTAGAAGAAAGAGATGTGGACTTTGAAGAACACACAACGTCAGAATAAACAAAGTGTTTGTACATTTTAACTTAGCTTCGTCCCTGTAATAGATAACAACGTTTTCCACTACATATTCTTTTCCAAAGTCCAACATAACCCATGCCACCGATTTGTTTAAAGCTGTATGTGAACAGTTAAATTCATTTTGATATATTTTTCCGTCGATCACTCTATCTGCTGATAAGCCATTTCTTGTCGAGCTCTGTGTAGCTGTACAAGACGTTTCTTCACATATATTATCTGTTCATAAATAAAATAAGAATTTATGTATACAGCGGAGTGAATAAGATTATATTTCTTTGTATATTGTCTATCAATCTATAGAATTGAATATTACATTAGATCACTGATAACAGGTAAAACCTACAATTTCACAGTAAATAAATATATGCTGTTGTTCTTTTTTTTAAATTTTGAAATCATTGTGATTTTCAAATGTAGCTATAAATAACAAATTTTGCAATAACCTACACATTACAGGAGGATGAATATGCCTTAAAGTTTATTTTATACTTTATACAACTATTCCCCAGGTTAAGTCTAAGCTTTTTAATACCAACTCTAAAGGCTGTGTTTCAATAATAATGGAAGTCGAATCTACTTATAGTGCCATTTGTCATATGAAAAAAGTATTGTTTTATGATTGTGCTCAACAGTTCTAAAAACTATTCGTGATTTATAGCATATACACTGTACATATTTACTCATCAAACATCATATTTTAAAAATTTCTTGAAATGTACTGAATTGTATATTTTATATGAGAAATCTTAACTAACCAAAAATATTATAGTTTCAAGGTAAGTTATTAACAATTTTAGTTTCATGAAGTCACAAACTAGTCGGATTTTGTTTTAATTTTCACAAAGATTGATTGATTGTTGTTCAACGTCCCTTTCGATATTTTGCTAATATGGAGACGTCACCGTATGCCAGTTTAGGGCTTCAAATATAGACCTATACTCGGCACTCAAGGCCATTGAGCAATGAGGGTTTTCCAACGTGCCAACGCCTACCGCGACCCGGGGCCTACTTTTTAAGGTCATATGCTAAAAATCCATGACTTTCACTTTAAATGCCGACCTTTTAGCGAGGGAACAGTCTTTACATACATGTATGTTTATATGTACATCTTGGGTTTGAAGCGGCGCCGCGAACGAGAATAGAACCCGGGCCGATCACGAAGCGAAAGTTCTACCACTAGGCTACAGTGTATCATGATATTATCATTGTACACATTATATATCAAAATATGAAGCAGAAGCAGACCTGCACTCAGTGATTTTTTTTCTCAAAATTAACGTTAAATTTACCTTTTTTCAGTAGAAATCATAAACATTTTTAATTTACGTCATTTTCCCGGCGTAATATCAAACGAATGACGTAATCGCTTATGAAAAATGCCAATGCTCTAATGTCCAAAGATCCCCCCCCCCCCCCGTTTTAAAACATAATTATGCATTTCTCCATTAAAGTTTGATTTTGTGGGCAAATATTTGTCATTACCGCATAAAGTCCTCTGGATATTGATATTCAAAAAATGCATGAGTTTCTGATTGACAAATGAATATACTGTATATGTATTTTTCAAAGATCAAAGTTCCCAAAAACTGTCGCATAAACAATGTGTATTGATTTTTTTAAAATCAATTTTTGCTCTATAAAAAGGCACAAATTAATATTCTTAAAAAATACCATAGAGGAGGAAAATACTTTCTAGGGCCTTCAACTAAATACTAAATATAGCAGCATGAAAAATCAATTAATTCATAAAATTACTTTCAAATAATAACAATAAATATACTAATTACATACTATAACAGTAAATTAATCCAAATAACAAAATAATGCACGCCCACCGAAAGACAGCCATTTCCAAAAAAGGATGTAAAATAAAACGTTATAATGTTACCTGACAACAAAACTCAAAATGATTGTGTCTTATAAGCGGTTTTATGCAATTTTTTTTCAAATATTAAAAAGGAATACAAATGAAAGGAAATAAGCAATTCTGTCCATAAATGCAAATGATAAAAATTTTATTACTCCATAACAAATCACATGAAGACATGCCCTTTGACAGATGTAGATATTTTTTTGCAGCGTATCACGCAACGCAGTATTCTTTCATACAGGGACATTTATCTTTTTAAGATAGTGGTCAAATTTACAACAAACCATTAAAGAGACATCCATGCAGATTTTTTACTTCAATAAGTTCCTGGCCGAAATCCATCAGAAAATACAGAACAGATCAATTCTTTATTGAATGAGAATGGAGAAGTGAACCTAATAACCTACTCACGGGGATCTCTCTTGACTTGGTGCCCCCAGGATTAAAGTATCTTATATTGGCGTGTATAGAATATGATTTTAAACATCTATCGGTTCTGGACAACATATTTTAATCAGTGCTTTGTACTCATGGTATTGAGCGGCAGCAGGGGTTCTTTCTAATGCCAAGCCAAATGAGAATAAGATTTAATTCTCCATAACAGACCTTTAACCTTTACTTGTAACTGACTTAATTATATCATCAACATATATTTGTCAGTCTGTCTGTCCAGAACCATTGTACCAGGAAAGATTAAATTCATGTGGAAGCATGCTCAGGTAATGTAGATTTAAATTTGTTCAAATCATGACCCCAGGGGTTAGAGCGGGGTCACAATGGCTGATCAAATTTTTACGTCGGAATTTTTAAGAAAAACCTCCAAAACCCTTGGGCCAGGAAAGATGAGACTCTAGTGGAAGCATCCTTAGGGAGAGTAAATTTTCTTTCTTTTTTTTCTTCAAATTATCACCCCTGAGGGTAGGGCGGACTCAAAATATCTGATCAAAGTTTTAAATAAGCATATGTAGGAAAAATATTTTAAAAATCTACGTCTCAAGATCAGGAAAAACATGATTGATGATTTTAATATGGAAACATCCTCAGTTAGAGTAAGTACAAGTTTGTTCATATCATGACCTATTAGCGGCAATCAAAGCTTTACATAGAAATGTATAGGAAAACTCTTTAAAAATCCCCTTAACAAGAAAGCCAAGCCATGGCATGATTAGTGATATTTATATCGAAGCATCCCAAGGTAGTGTAGCT